ACGAGGAGTCAGCTCCCATGTCAGAGGAGGAAGAGAGCACATCCAGTTAGTCACAATCAGAGAAACAGGACTACACTGGAAAACAGGCTGATCTCCAACATCTAGAAACAAAGGTGTTGATGGCAGCAGCACAGCTGATGTTTCTCTCCAGGATGGAGTCACAGCCAAACAGGAACAGACCAGAAGTCAGGTCCAAAGTCAGAGCAGTCATCCAGCAGGACATTTAGAAAAGCTTTACCGACTTGATTTTTCCAGCTGGATTTGGTACCGGCTCATGCTGTTAAAGGTACCAAACCAGCTTTAGTCTCCATGGTAATGCCAGAAATCTAAACTCCACAAACTCTCTGTGCTGTTGTTACACCAATTACTAATAATGCAGAAGCTCTGTTAGAACAACTTCCTGGGTTTCCTGATCAACCCAGCAGAACCACAGGACAGGCTGCAGTTCTTACTGTGGCCAGGAGGGGGAGCAGGACCGGGTGGTGCTGAAGCGGGTTCTACTGGCCTACGCCCGCTGGAACAAGAGTGTTCATCCCACATTGATGCAGTAATCCATGCAGGAGCAATGGATGTTGCCAACTTAGCGCTATATTTAGCGACCCCCTCTAGCACTTTCATTTTAAAAATGTGCCTAGAACCAAATCTAGCGATTTTTTTTCTGCTACTGGAGACTTTGATGACAACATCTAAACCAGTGGTAACCATTTAAAAATCAGCGGGGTGAATAAAAAAAATAAAAAATCAACCAGTAAAGGTCCGGGGACATTTTTAATTAGCTGTTACTATAAACAGAATTTAACAATGAAAATAAAATGAGGTGTTTATGCTTTCATGTTATACATTAAATTTTTAAATAAATAAAAAAATATATACATATATAAAAAAAAGAACATTTTTCTATTTAAAAATCGTAAGTGTTTTTTGAAGTAGAGAACAACAATCTTTCAGTTTGTTATATAGACATTTTCCTGCTTCACATATTTTCTTAAATAACCTGAACTGACCGTTTATTATTATTATTTTCTTTCTTTTTTCTGTCTTAATGTTGGCAGTGGGCTTTATGCTGCCCTGCAAGGCTTTAAACCTGGGTTTAA